AATTGTCCGAAGTCCTATATGCATATTTATTAAACTTGTTAAGTGAGGGACTTAGATTATTAAAAGAGATGCAGAATGTATAAAAACTAAATAAATTAGTTACAGGCTCTGCAGGTGATAGTATGGATTATTACTGATTTTATATCTAACATTGAGTGAAGCGAATCAGATTCATTTAGAAACTCCTATAGGCATGTTTTCTACACGTTGCTGATTTTAGACGCTTATAGACGTGGTGTCGAAATGCAGAAAAACTTATAGACATAGTATCTGAATGCGAAACTTATTTAAAACCTTATAGGCAGGGTATCAGTTTGAATTATGCAGAATGAAATTAGAACAATCCTATAGGCATGATTTCTAGGTGAAGTTTGAATATGCAGAATTATAACAGTCCTATAGGCATAATTTCTAGGTGAAGTTGAATATGCAGAATTATAACAGTCCTATAGGCATAATTTCTACGTGAATTTTGAATATGCAAAAGTTGAAACACCCTATAGGCGTGGTTTCTACCCTTACATGCATAGTTACCCACCTTATTTCACTAGCCAGCCCCCAAATGTTTATTACAACTTATTACAAACCATAATAATAAATTACATCAGAAAAGTACAACCAGATGAAGCCTGATTCTTGACTTCCTCTCTGAGTTATGAGATAGACCAACTCAAAGACCATTGATCCAAAGTCTTTCTCCAATTTGAGTGTGTCAGAGTTCCCTAAGAGCCTCAAGTGGGACTCCAGGCAATGCTCACACCCAAATTGTATCACCAGAATAGGGACAAGTGCAGTGTGGAAGGGCCAGCCCTCAAGTGTCCAAGTTCAGAGGGAGCTCATAGGTCCCAAGGAAAGGCTCACAAGAGGGGGGCAGAACATAAGTCTAAGAGAGAGTGCAAGTGAAGAAATAGAATTTAAGAACTAAGGAAGTAAAGAAAATGGAATGAGGTGTTGTGAAACAGCTATAAACAAGTTGGTAATTTCATACAAAGGGGTTCAGGGGTTGGGAAATTGCCAAAGAGCCTATGTACTTTAGGCAAGGGTCAGCTTTGGGCATGCACAGCAATAGAAGATGCTGGCATGCCTAGAAGCCTACCAGAACACACAATACTAGAGAAACATAGAGGTTAGGATCCCAGGGGATCAAGCTTGAGTCACGGGCAGTAATATTCAATACTGTCATGGCTCAAACAAACCATAAGCATTAAACACATTGGGGTGGGGGGGGGGGGGGTTTAGGATTCACAATAGATTCAGAACAGGCAGAAGGAAATTACAGCATGCTAAAGTAAATACTGGATTAAATACAAGCAGTAGGCAGACAAGAAGGCAAAAGTATTAAGTAAACATATTATTGTGATGTTGAATCTTAATCAGAACATACCATTTCAAAGAAGCAAAATACAGTAAAGGCAGGTAGCAGGACTTTGAAGATAGGCCACAGTACAAGTAGCAAGAGAGAATATTTTGAGTATGAGTGTAAGTTCAGAAATTAGGAATATTCGTGTCTGTGTTAATGAAAAAGCCAGGTATTTATAGTTTGAAAATAGGTAGAAAGTAAGGCAAGAATCATAGTTTAGTAGTAATTATGGAACTACGTATCAACTAAAATCAAATCAGTATAAGACTTCCTTTAATTAAGGAGTTGGAATTAAACGGTAATGAGCAGAAAACATTTAAGGAAAGAAATCAAGTAGAACACTATGTATAGAATAGACAATTAGGGGTAAGTACATAGGGGTCCAATTAAGGAAACAACTATTGCAGAATCAGTGTAGATACTCAGTTAACCAAATAAGGTAGAAAACACAATAGATTTGCAAAATATGGAGACAATCAACTCCCAGTAAATCAAGGAGTCAGGGATTCGAAATTATTGATTTGGGAGAGAGTAACATGGGTTCCCATGAATAAACAAATAAGCCAAACTAAGGACAGGAGAATCGAAAGTCTAAAGGGAAGTTTTCCAAACAATCCAAGAAACAGGGAAATCAGTAAAACAAAGAAAGAATCAATTACACGAGTGCAATCCAAATTACACAAGGAGGTTTGAAATCAGTCCACAATTGAAGGTCGTTTTAGAGGAAAATTTAGCATATAAAAGAGTGCATAAACATTAGGCATGCGAGGCTGAACTCGTAACAAAGAGAAGCATCATGCAATGGCAAACACAAGGTCAGTAGCTAATGAACTATCGAAACATGGTAGTCACATAGGTCGATTTCACCAACTCAGTAATAGAGAAAAGAGAGTATCAGAAGCATGCAAAGGGGTCAAGTGAAAAGACCTTATAGTAGAGTTTCAATGGTAGCAGGAAGTCAAAATCACATAAAGAAACAGAGGTTGAAACAAAAGATTTCGAAATTCAGTCGAGCAACAAATGAAGAAACTTCAGAAACTCGAATAGGTCCAAAGTAAATTAGGGTTTTGAAACCAATCGAATTCAGAGCATGACGAACAAGTAAATCACATAGCAAATAGTCTCAGAACTCGAATGAACCCCAAATTTTAGGGTTTTCACCATCAATCGAGTATAGAGATGAAAAACAAGTAAATCAGACAGAAATACTAACAAAATAAATTCAGAAATCTCAAAAGGTTAAGGCCCTCAACATGCAACTTAAGTAAAAGAACGACATAAGGAAACACAGTAGAACACGTAGAAAAATCAGAGAAAGCTTCAAAATAACTTAACAAAACCCTAAATCAGAAAAGATAAGGGGTTTTGAAGATAAAGTTTTAGAAGAAACCTTGAGAAAAATGTTTAGAAGTTTAAAGCAAACACGGATCTAGACAGATATAAAAGAAATCAGAAGAACCTCAAAGATTAGGGTTTCAGTAGAAACCCAGATGGAGGCTTGGAAAATGGTCGATCTAAGCAGGAGAAGTCAAGAATCGGGCTTGAATAGCCATGGCTGGCCGGAGCAAAGTCGAAGATTACCGGAGACAGCCATAAAAACTGAGATTGACCAAAGTTTGGGCCAAGCTTCTTCAAGGTCTGGCCTTGAAACCATAGTACTCGAACGCATAGAAGCCAAGGGAGGTGGATACAGGCCTCCATTGGCTTTAGAAGCCATGGATTTGGGGGTTTTCAGGTGGTAGTTTAGGGAGGCGGCTAGGGTTTGAGAGAGGGTCGAGAGAGAATTGAGAGAACAAAGGAATTCAGAGGCGGCTGAATGAGAGAAATAATTAGGTTTAGGGGTTGCTTGGGATTAATTATGGAAAGGGTTAATGGTGGTCGTTGATCATTTTGATCAACGGCCTGGATTGAATGGATAGGTAGGGGATCCTGGTGGGTTGTTTTAATTGGGTTGTGGGTCGGGTATGATTAGGATTTGGGCTGGGTAATTGGGTTTAAAATTGAGGTTCAAATCAGGCCACAATTGAGACACAATTGGGCTATATTTTAAATAGCCACATTTCCCTTATTTATTTTATAAAAATTAGTAAAGTAATTTCTGGAAATAAATTAAAGATACTTAAATGATTAATAATACATAATTATCAAATTAAAAATATTGGACCTAATTTTATAGATATAAACGTAATTAAATCTAAAAGAGGCTAATATTGCAATCATATGCAATTTAGCGTTAAAAATACCAAATAAATTTGTAAAAATATGCAAAGATTATCTTAGCTATATTTTAGTATAAATATGAGAGAGTCCAATAAGTAAATCACCAAAATGATAATTTTGGGAATAATTATTGGGTTTTTTCTAGATAAAATGGAACAATAAATTGATATAAAAATCTTTAAAAATTAGGAAAAAATAATAAAACATTTGGACATACCTATATATGCATACATATGCTATTTTGAAAGTATTTTGCATATTAAAATATTTAGGAAAAAATTGGGTATCAACAGCTGCCCCTNCTCTTGATTTCTCTCTTCAGAATCGCCCAAAAAGCTCTAAGGTCGAAGTCAAAAATGGTGAAATAACCCAAACTCCCGAAATGAAATAACATATATTTTCTGCCCAGGCCTTTCCGCATCTGCAGTCCAAGGCCCCACTTCTGCGATACCGCATTTGCGGCCAAACCACCGCTTCTGCGGTTTTTTACTTAAGGCCCAAAATCGCATCTGCGATAGAACTTCCGCATCTGCGGCTTCGCAGATGCGGCCATCTTGACCGCTTCTGCGGAAACTGCTCGCCAGCCCCAATTTCGCATCTGCGGCTTCCTCCCTCGCACCTGCGGCATCGCACCTGCGGTCCCAATTCCGCAAGTGCGGAAATACCAGAAGCAGAAAATCTGCAGCTTCCACAAACATCCAACTTCTCCGTTAACCACCCGAAATCACCCCGAGGCCCCCGGGACCTCAACCAAAAGCACCAACACATCCTAAAACCTTATTCAAACTTGTTCCAATCATCAAAACACTTCAAACAACATCAATTCAACCAAAACACATCGGATTCAAGCCTAAGCTTCTAAAAATCTTCCAAATTCCGCTTTTGATCAAAAACCCAACCAAACCACGTCCGAATAACCTGAAATTTTGCACATACATCCCAAATCACATACGAAGCTATTGCAACTCTCGGAATTCCATTCTGACCCCCTATATCAAAATCTCACCTACCAACCGGAAATCGCCGAAATATCAACTTTGCCAATTCAAGCCTAAATCTACTCCGGGCCTCCAAAACTTATTCCGTTCACACTCCTAAGTCATAAATCACCTCCCGAAGCTCACCGAACCATCGGAACTCACATCCGAGCCCTCTAACACATAAGTCAACATCCGGTTGACTTTTCCAACTTAAGCCTTCCTAAAAGAGACTAAGTATCTCAAACTTCACCAAAACCAATCCGAATCCAATCCGACCAACCCGATACCTCAAAACACGGATAAGCAAGGCATGAAGAAGCAGAAATGGGGGAAACAGAGCGGTAACTCATGAGACGACCGGCCGGGTCGTCACAAGTTAGCACAGAGGTACAATAGTATAGCACATAAATAATGCAGCAAAGTACATAGAGACAACTTACAGGGTCAAATTCACGGTCAACAATTGACGTATCAAGCACACACCTGGAAGCATCAGTCTCCCCCCATCTCTCCACCACCTTAGGAGCTTCCTTTTGCTCACCCTTACCTTCAATAACTACACCCAAAAAAGATACGTAAGAAAATAACTACTTATTGGCACCACTAATTCTAAGCTAAAGAGGGTCAGTTTTAATTCAAACAAAATAGACAAAAATCCATTTTTCTAGGGAAAAAAAAGAGAGGCAAGATAGTAGGCTAGTTAAAGGGAAAAAAAGGATTCAAACTTTATCGAAAGATAGAAATTTAAAGCTGAAATGGGTTTACCTTTGATTAATCGAAGAATGCCAAAAGTTAGAGCTTTAAGAGGAGGGCAACCAGGGCAATCCAAAGTGATAGTGCAGGGCATATTCTTATTGGCAGCAGAGTAGGAGTAACCAGCAGTAGTTCCAGACTGCCTTCCAAAAAGTCTATTCAAATTAGGTCCTGTTAAAATACATATTGTTGTAAGTTACAGCAGAACTCATAAAACAATTCCAAAAAGAAGAACTCTACATGTCTTTGCACACGCCCTTTACCCAGAAGGGATACACCAAAGTTAAGACAATTATCATAATCCAGCGTGGTTATAAAAAATAAAAAAAGAAAGGGGTCATCAAGATATGAAAAGATAATTGTAAACATGGAACTTCAGGGAAGCATCAACATATGAAAAGAAATTTGGGGAACTATCGATGGCAAAACCAAACGGGAAAAGACCATCGTATCTATCTATATAGAATAGGAGAAGCAAAAGCACCACATTAAGATAAGTGTCTTAACTACAAAAAGCCAAGTGGCATTGTTAAGACAAATTAAACTACTTTTCTAACTAATTTTTTTTTTGAATTTTAAATTTTGAATTAATTGGTTACACTACTTAACTAATAAATATAGATATCTTATAATTATGAATATAAAACGAACTACAAAAAAATATTCTACTCATTCAAATTGGAGTTTTAAAATTATTTTATAATAAAAAAATAAAAATAACATATTCACATAACTAAAATCATAATAAACAAATAATCATCTATCTATATAGAATAGGAGAAGCAAAAGCACCACATTAAGACAAGTGTCTTAACTACAAAAAGCCAAGTGGCTTTGTTAAGACAAATTAAACTACTTATCTAACTAATTTTTTTTTTTTTTGAATTTTAAAGTTTGAATTAATTGGTTATACTACTTAATTAATAAATATAGATATCTTATAATTATCAATAAAAAACAAAAATACAAAAAAATATTCTACTCATTCAAATTGGAGTTCTAAAATTATTTTATAATAAAAAAATAAAAATAACATATTCACATAACTAAAATCATAATAAACAAATAATCATAATGAAGAATACTAAAAAAGATCAAATGATATAGTAAAAATACATCTACGAATTAAATTGCTCATGTAGGAAAATTTAGTTAATAAATAGAACTCATAATTTTATAATGAAAAATATAAAAATATAAAGAAACTATTAGGATATTATATATAAAAGACATTTTATTAATTGTTAAAAATATTAGTACGTTTTTTATAAAAAATAATATCTTTATACTTTTGATGAATTAAAAATTATAATTTAGGAAAGTAAATTATAATATTTAAATTTTCAGTAAAATATAAAATGAAAGAACTAATCTAATATTATAATAGAAAAGAATGTACGAAGAGAGGTGGATAAAGATAATTTTATATTATTTATATTTAAAATTAATTAATAAACAAAATAGAAATAAATAACACTCAAGAAATTATTGATAAATTTAGATAATTGAAGAATCTTAAACCGTATAACATAAGTATAAAAATTTATATTTCCAGAATATATACGTATGTTCTACTAGAAGAGAAGTAGTATCAAAATATTAAGCCAATTGACAAACTAATACAAAAATCACATTAGTAAATATATAGTATTAAGTACTTGCTAATTTAATAAAGAATAAACAAGGAATAAATAATTGATTTGATTACTATAATGCTTTGTGTCCTTTGATTTTGTATAGATTTTATTATATTTATGTACACTACATTAGATAATAAAATAGTAACTAATACTTATTAAAATATTATAACATATTGGATCATAATTTTATAAGATTAATATTCCGTCAAATTATCCGCGCATCGCGCGGGTTCTAGCACTAGTATATAGAATGAGGAACACAAAAGTAACACAGAGAACATAATTAAACTGGTCTCCGCAAAAGATGTATTCGTAAAGTATGCTAACAAAAATCTCTCAGTATGAAATCTGCTATCATTCTTAGATTCTAATTCCATAACGAAACAAAAGAAGTAGAGCAACCCAATTTTCTTTCACCAAAACCATCAGTGAGTTTGTTAGTTAAGAGAGAAATATATTTATCAAAGATATCGAGCAACCTAGTTTTCAGTTAAGCATATTTGCAACATATTTTCTTATTCAACTATTAGTGTCCTACGGAGGTGATACCTCCCAAATGAGTAACCTCTTAGCAGTTTCTTCAAGCTATTCTAAAATCAAGTTCAATCACCCAACCCTAACAGAATAATCGAAGTGACACAATTAGTGTAATAATGTTTTCGCTGATCAAAATTCAAGATTATCACAAGTGCTGCTGAAAATACGGAAAAGCACCCGCAAACCTAAGATACAACTCCTTTCAAGATTATGAAAACTAATAACAGCAGATAGAAAGAACAAGCAACAATTTGTAGCCAATCTTTATGCCACAGAATTATATGAGTCACAATTGGACTCATAAATGTTCCTCTCATAAATTATTGCCAAGTAAAATCACAATTAAATTATAATTGGGGATCTAACTAATCAATAATCAGAAATCACAAAAAACATTAAACTCGGACTACACGTTAGACAATATCTTTTTGCTATTTTATCTGTTATTTTGCGGACAAGCAAAATCTTACGAAGCTAGGAAAAAACTGGGTAAAAGAAGAATAAAAAAAATAATACTCCATATAATGGCCAAAAAAAGTGACTAAAACTATATATAGATAAATGAATTAAAAAGAAAACTAAATATATATACAGAAAACCCATATAATTGCAGATCTGCCCAAATAACCCATCAAAGGTTAGACCTTTTCACCAAACAAGAACTCATCAGATCAATAAACTGATAAACAAAAATATATAAAGAGAATCATAATCACCAAATCTGACAAACAAAAAAAAGAAATTTGACAAATAACATAAAAAAGGAAAGGAAAAAAAAAGAAGTTGTGTACCTTGTTTACGACCAGCACCTTGTTCAACAGTATGGCATTGAGCACACTTGGTCTTGAAGATCTTTGCCCCTGCTGCTTCGTTCCCCGGTGGTGCCTCTGCAAAAGATGCCATTTTATAAATTTGGGGCTTTTTCTGATTTTCTGAAAGTAGAAAGGAAGAAGGAGAAAGCTTATAGTAGGTTTTTTGTGAGGGATGAATTCCAACTTCTAACATTAAATTCAAAAATAGTCAGATTTATAAGTGTTAATTGAAAAACAATTATAATTTTAAAAGTAATTAAAATTTAGCCACTTTTCATGTAAAGATAAATCTGAACGAAAATATTATTCAAAATTCGTAAAATATTCTAGCATAATATAATGTAGTTCGAATTTTTTGCATATGAACTTCAAGCATAATATATTGGAGTTCCAGCATAATATACTAAAGTTTCAGTACAATATATTGGAGTTGTAGCATAATATACTGGTCCAGCATAATATGTTGGAAGTTCATACACAGGTGCTCCAATCTCCAGTATAGTATGCTGGAACTTTTCGTGTGGTGGTTTCAGCATAATATTCATACACAGATGCATCAATCTCCAGTATATTTGCTGGAACTTTCCGTGTTACTGTCGCACCTCTTTTTTCCCAAGCAACCCTATTACGAAGTTGAGTTAGAAGAGTTTTTCCAATTAAAGTGACGTTTTGAAAAGGGATTATTTATTATTTAGAGTCGCCACTTGAAATTGAGTTTTGGTGTTGTCACGACCCAAAATCCCTCCGAAGGAGTCGTGATGGCACCTAGTCGCTAAATTAGGTAATCCTAACATTAATTGAGATAACATTGACATTTACTAACTTCAAATTTAAATAACTCTGAATAAATCACAATTTCCCGAAACCGGTGGTACAAGTCATAAGCCTTTCTAAGAGTAGCTATACAAAATAAATACAACATTATTCCAGAACGAGAAGGAATCAATGGAACCTAATTAAAAACGAGGGTGACTCCGAGGCCTGGGAACGCAGCAGCAGGTTGCCTTGAGTCTCCATCGCGACGATCCGCACAGCTACTATCGATCAATACCTGGATCTGTACACAAAATGTACAGAAGTGTAGTATGAGCACACCACGGCGATGCCCAGTAAGTATCAAGACTAACCTCGGTGGGGTAGTGACAAGGAACAGTCAAGACACCTACTGGTCAGACAGATTAAACAGGATATGATATCAAATATCGAGATAAAGGTAACGAGGTAATATCAATAGCAGGGATAAATCAATCTACAAACAGTAGAAATAATGAGAGGAAACTCGGATGGAAGCGAAAGATAACCAAATAAATCAACACAAACATAGCTGGAACACAGAGAAGTAAAATGAACTCAAGTAAGGAAGACAGTGTCAACTCAATCAATCATATCGTTTCTAGAGCACAACCCTAGCCATCTCAGAACTCGATGTCTCATATCATAACCTCAACTTCCAAACCTTTAGCACACCCGACACCTTGTGCCCACATATTTTGTCTCACTTTGCACAAGAACGTTCTCATGTTACTCAGTACATAGGATCCATAACTAATGCAATTAAGATGTTTCAGTAGTCTCATTTACATAACATAAAGTAGAGTAAAACTTCTAAACCAATTAGGAACTCAGCAAGAAAAGATGAAGTTATTTTTAGAAATCATTTTAATGAAGAAAGTACCATTTTCAATTTAAGATACAACATCGAATGGATTATTACCTTTAACATGGGATTTAATAAATTAACTTAGTAGAAATTCCTTTTTAAGTAAAATTCAACCTCAGACGGTTTAAAGGAATTTAATTGAGTAACTAATAGAATTAAAAATGAACAATTATTGAAACTTGAAGTATTGAAATATGTATATAAATACGGCGAAGTAGTGAAAACACTATGGGGTTCCATCACAAAGGATCACAACAGTAAAGGAATCTGAACAATTATAACACTTGAATTGATAATCACAAATAAGCACAACAAACAAAAAGTGCACGGCATCACCCTTCGTGCTTTATCACTCTTCCTCACCATATGCATAAATAGAAATGTGCACGGCATCACCCTTCGTGCTTTAACTCTCTCATAATCATGGCACGGCATCACCCTTCGTGCTTTTACTCTCAATAATGTGGCACGGCATCACCCTTCGTGCTTTTACTCTCAATAATGTGGCACGGCATCACCCTTCGTGCTTTTACACTCATAATATCGGCACAGCATCACCCTTCGTGCTTTACACTCTTCCTCACAACATCATGCACAGCATCACCCTTCGTGCTTTACACTCTTCCTCACAACATCATACACGGCATCACCCTTCGTGCTTTACACTCTTCCTCACCCAAGCAACAGAAACAATAACATCCCGGCAAGGAATCAACAATAGAAACAATAACATCCCGGCAAGGGATTCAACAATAGAAACAATGATATCCCGGCAAGGGAATCAACAATAGAATCAATAACATCCCAGCAAGGGATTCAACAATAGAAACAATAACATCCCGACAAGGGAATCAACAATAAAAACAATAACCTCCCAGCAAGGGAATCAACAATAATCAATCATGTTTCAACAGTTAGCTTTGCAATATAGATCTCAACTCAAGTCAATGTTCAACAATGGTCAATTACCAAGAGAATGTCATAAGTCTTGTTCAACATGAATAATCGCAAATTTAAGCATGAATAGTACATTATAAGGATCACGGAAAAACCAAGAAGCACAATAGCCTTAACAAAACAACAAGACATAATAAACACGTGATAACTACACCGGTAACCACAACAATTGGGCATGTAATAAGCACGTGATAACTACACCGGTAACCACAACAATTGGGCATGTAACATATTTGCACGAAGTCATAGAGGAACTCACAACCAAGAAGTATCAAAACAATAAGGAAGGCAATTACTTCAACTAAGGCAATTAGGGGTCAAGTAACACGTAAGAATTAGAGGCAAGCTAATCACATCATATGGAGCATACAGAGGTAATTTTTTCCGACACCAGAAACCAGCAACCAGCAATTTTTTCCGACACGAAAATGAGCATAACTTCCTCATACGATATCCAAATTCGATGATTCTTTTTCCTATGGCTCCGTAATTTCGATACGGATACAATGGTTCAACAAAACTGAATTTGGATCTCATTTGCTCAATGTGGTATCATTTTTGCTTGAAGAAACGACGATGAAGCATCCAAAAACAAGTGCAACATAGCCTAAACCTATTCGAAACTCACCCAAGCCCTCGGGGCTCCAAACCAAACATGCACGCAAGTCTAAAAACATCATACAGACTTGCTCGTGCGATCAAATCATCAAAATAATATCAAAAACTATGAATTTAACCTCAAAGCTCATGATTTTCTAACTTTTCAACCGAACGTCCAAATCACGTCAAATCAATTCTGATTCTCACCAAATTTCACAGATAGGACTTAAATATCATAATAAACTTGTACCAGGCTCTAGAACCAAAATACGGTCCCGATACCAATGAGTTCATACATTAATTCATTTCTTTATTTCCTTTAAAAAAAACAACACAACAATTTTCTTCAAAAATTGTTTTCTAAGGCTAGGGACCTCGGAATTCAATTCCGGGCACACGACCAAGTCCCATATTTTACCGCGAACCTCTCGGGATCGTCGGAACACAGATCCGGGTCCGGTTACCAAAGACAACTAAAAACCAAATTTTAACTCTAGAAATTACTATTTTTTTCATATTTTCACATAAAAGCTTTCCGGTTTCACACCCGGACTGCGCACGCAAGTCGATACACATAATATGAAGCTGCTCGTGACCTCAAACTGCCGAACCGCACGCAATTGCTCAAAATGACCAGTTGGGTCGTTACATCCTCCTCCACTTAAACATTGTTCGTCCTCGAACGTGCCCGGAGTCGTTCCAAGGCCATCGAACCACTGCATGAGCTCCTCGTACATACACCTGGGGATGATTCACTATCATCCAACCTATGCAGAACTGACAATGCAACTTAACTTAAAGTCTCATCTCCTCCTTAGTTTATAACCTTAGAACAAGACCCAAACCTCAACATCCAAAATTCATCATAGGACCCGAATTCCACATCATCACACTAAACACACCCAAACAAGCTGAATCGAGCCAAAAATTCCAATCCAGAATACAATCACATGTCGTTCCACACAACTCACATACTCAAAGCAATAACCTCTGACCACCATAGCTGCTCAAATAACATCCTGGATGCCGGCAATATACTTCACATTGAATACAACCTTGTTCCGGACTTCCACAACACTACCCATGATAAAGAGACATGCTGAAACTCATAGTTGTCCATGAAGTCAACAAGTCACGAAGCTCTCTCGCCCGCTAAGGGCCATTACCCAAATCTTAGAAGAAACACCCTCTCACTTACAAACACTCCCCACCCCCAATACCATAGCACTAATCTCAGGTCTAAGAACCTCATCTTAGCCAATACAAGCAGCCCAACTAACAACTCATCACGGAACCACACGGATTCTCACACTACACAGTTCGTACACCAAACCAGCAACAACTAAATCACGCAGCACGAATAAGGGAAATCCAAGTATAAGAATTATCTAACACCAACATGTGTAGCAACAAAAGTATAGTTTTTCATCAAATCATCCCACAGAGGGAAAACACAACACCAAATAAACACAAGGAAAGGGTATCCTTCATAACATCCGTTGCGACGTGCAGCCCGCTCCCAAATACTCATCAAGCCAGTATCCCGCATGACATCCGTTGCGGCGTGCAGCCGCTCCCAAATACTCATCAAGCCAAAATGCTCAAGCTCACTGATCATATGAATACTGATATTAAGTACAACAGAGTGCATAAATAAAACTGTGGGAAAAGTGAACAGAAGTAATAAAATATGGGAGAAGCAAGCACATATAAGGTGCAATGAGCAAATCAACATCACGAGGGCTATCTCGCCCGCCTCGCCATAAGGCCTGAACAAAATTACAACATGCGTGGGGTATAGTCATAATACCTCACCACCTAACACAACATAAATGAGTAGCACATACATAGGCTAGGGCACATATAATGTCCATTCTGCCTGATAACGTGACCAAAATGACAATCTCATAGGAGCACACAAACTTGACCTGATACAATATATATATTCTCATTG